CTGTCTAAAAAATCTCTCCTCTCCCCAAATATCTCCCTTGAAGTCTCTTGTCCCACGGGTCCCAATTTCTCTACAGTGCGGTTCTCTGGCCATGTGGAGGAGGAATAAAAATGGAGCCTTTTGCACTGTGGAGGGAATTTACTCCTGCTTCTCCAGCTACAAAAGGTTCCCAACCATTAACTGATTCATGATAGCAGCCGCTTTCATTGACTCGTTGTTTGTATCAGGCATGCAATTTTAGTAGAAATTGTGAAAATGGGAAATTACTACTGGAATAGTTGGAAAACCAAATGAGATGTTCCAGGAAATGTCATAGCTTCTGGGCAAATACATTTGTTCATTCTGCTCTTGTGCCTTGACCATGTGCGCCAGGCACTGGCAAAGTCCACGAGGGCCCAGCCGATGGAAGAGAGACCACATAGAGACTCCGGCAGTTCGCTGTATGGTACACAACTGGTTCAGAGTTCAGACAGTAAACACCGCAGGGGGTTAGAAAGAGGGATAATCATTAAGTGTGAATTTTAAGCAAAGAAAATATTTCTATCACCCGCAGCCCCAGAACTGTCAGACTCTCTACAGAAGCATGACTGGGGGGAACTGGACCGCAAGCTCTCCCCATTTATCTCCATATTCCACATGCCATCATGAATCACTCATGGGATGAGCTTCCTTATCTTGGAATGTTTCTGGGGAACCTTAGTATTAATCTTTCTCTGGTCCTTTCAGCACATCCTCAGATGAAAAGGCAGTTTTTAAAGCAGTAACAAAATGGAAAATAAATGTAAAAGACTTGGTGCCTCTGTCCTGAAGGCTGGGAATTATCCATGACTACCTGACAGAGATGGAGTTCCAGAGGTCTCTCCAACGCAGACAGGATCTACATCTGGAAGTCAAGTGTTTGGCAGTCAGAACACATTTTCCCATAGAGACAATGTATGAATCAGGGTTCATTCTCAGATCCAGCTGACAAAGCTCCATATTAACTCATATAGTACCAAAAGCATAGTACCATCCTATTTCTTCCATTTTATTTTTACTGAGAAACAATTCCCACACAATTCACCCTTTTTTTTTTAAGATTTTATTTATTTGACAGAGAGAAACAGTGAGAGAGGAAACACAAGCAGGGGGAGTGGGAGAGGGAGAAGCAGGCTTCCCACTGAGCAGGGAGCCCGATGCAGGGCTCAATCCCAGGACCCTGGGATCATGACCTGAGCCGAAGGCAGGCACTTAATGACTGGGCCACCCAGGTGCCCCACAATTCACCCTTTTAAAGTATACAATTCAGTGTGTTTTAGCATACTCACAAAGTTCTGCAACCACCACCTGTATGTAATTCTAGAATATTCTGTCATCCCCTCAAAAAAATCTGTATCTCCGGCAGTCATTCCCCCCTCCTCCACACCCCCTCCCAGCCACTAATCTACTTTCTGTCTCTACAGATTTGCCTATTGTGACGTTTCATATCAAAGGAATCGTAAGATATGTGGCCTTTTGTGTCTGGCTTCTTTCACTCAGCATCATGTTTTCAAGGCTCATACAAGCTGTAACATGTATTCAGTACCTCATTTATTTGTCAAAAGCCTTTTAAAAGTTCATACTTTGTACCTCAAATGGAATTCCATTTCTAAGATTTTATAGAAATAATCAGAAATGCACCAAAGGATCTGTGTACAAGTGTATATCACAATATTATTTATGATAGGAAAAAAATGTAACATTCACTATAATAGGGACTGCTTAAATAAACTTACACATTTATATGTTAGAATACTATGTAGTATCAGTAAACAAGATTTTAAAGGTTAAGAGGAAAAGCTCATTGTTAAAGAAAGAAGGTTAAAAAACATATTTTATAAAATGTATTTGTGGGATGACATCAACCAAAATATATTACCAGGTATCTTTGGGTAATAGGAATATGGATGGTTTTAAATTTCCTATTTATATTTATATAGTTCAAAATTTTCTTTAATAACTTGAATGATCAGTAATTTGACTCTAGTAACACTTTTCTACCAGGAGAAAAAACAACTTTTGGAATGTGAACAGAAAGGCACTCAGAGTTCAATTCAGAGTCCCTCATATTTTCAGTATATAATTTTATTGTCAGTATGATTATACACACACACACACAACAGAAGAATAAGCTAATCAGTAAGTTGTTTTTGGTTTTTTTTTAAAGATTTATTTATTGTGAGAGAGCGAGAATGAGAGAGAGAGAGAGTACACGAGTGGGGGAGGGTCAGAGGGAGAAGCAGGCTCCTTGCTGAGCAGGGAGCCCGATGCGGGACTCGATCCCGGGACTCCGGGATCATGACCTGAGCCGAAGGCAGTCGCCCAACCAACTGAGCCACCCAGGCGCCCCAGTAAGTTGTTTTTAAAAGTTGTGAAAAGCAAAAAAGAGACAATAAATATAAATGCAGAAATTGAATTAGGTACCAGAAAAATGGAACTGATCAATAATCCAAGAACTGGTTCTCTTACAAAAACAACAAAAGGGATGGAGTTTAAGAAATCTGACAAGAAGGGCGCCTGGGTGGCTCAGTTGGTTAAGCGACTGCCTTCGGCTCAGGTCATGATCCTGGAGTCCCGGGATCGAGTCCCGCATCGGGCTCCCTGCTCCGCAGGGAGCCTGCTTCTCCCTCTGACCCTCCCCTCTCTCATGTGCTCTCTGTCTCTCTCATTCTCTGTCTCAGATAAATAAAATCTTTAAAAAAAAAAAAGAAATCTGACAAGAAAAACAAAAGCTAAACAAATAATATTAGAAATGCAAAAGGGATATAACCAGAGACACTGAGGTTTAAAGTGCAAATAATCCGAGCTACTGAATTTAAAGGTGGGATAAGTGGGAAAGTAAATTATAAAAATGGAGTCAAGAAGTAAAAAAGCTCAAATGATCAGAAAGTGAAAATAAAACTTTTCACAGCCTTACCTCCCCTAAAGAGTCTTTTTTTTTTTAAGGCTTTTTGTGTTTTGGGTTTTTTTAAGATTTTATTTATTTATTTGACAAAGAGAGAGAGAGAGAGAGAGCACAAGCAGGGGGAGCGGCAGGCAGAGGGAGAGGGAGAAGCACGCTCCCTGCAGAGCAGGGAGCCCGATGCTGGGCTCTGGGACCCTGGATCATAACTGGAGCCGAAGGCAGACGCTTAACCAACTGAGCCACCCAGGCGCCCACTCTCTGACTAGTCTTTATGACAGAGAATTTAAAGTAAGTTCTCTCATATTTTCAAGAAACGATCAATTCTAAAGCTTTATAAAGTGTTCTGGAACACATAAAGTCATGGAAAGTTACTAAGTGAATTTTATGAGACTAGTATAACTCTGAGATCAAAACACAACAAAAGTTACCTCCTGCCCCAAAGGAAATGTCCATCCATACACATTAGATAGGAACATTCTAAACACAAAATTAGGCTGCAAAATTTAACATTACCAAGAACAATTTATTATTAGGAAATGCACAAATACCTAAAACCAACACAATAAACTAAATTAATGCTCAAAAACACCCCAATAAAATACCTATTCCTATTAAAAAGTCTAAAAGCCACAAATCACAAAATAATCCACTTATAGTTTTAAAAGTCTCTCCCTAGCCAGTAAGTAAACAATAAAATTAATGGAGTAAAAATAAAAATATTCCAAGTAAAACAAAGAATAAGAGAGACCACCAGGAAAGTCTGACTAATTCGATAAGCCATGAACCAAAAACAAGTAGTTAGTTATATCAAAACAAAATAAGGGCGCCTGGGTGGCTCAGTCGTTAAGCGTCTGCCTTCGGCTCAGGTCATGATCCCAGGGTCCTGGGATCGAGCCCCACATCGGGCTCCCTGCTCAGCGGGAAGCCTGCTTCTCCCTCTCCCACTCCCCCTGCTTGTGTTCCTACTCTCGCTGTCTCTCTCTCTGTCAAATAAATAAATAAAATCTTTAAAAAAAAAAAAAAAAAAAAAAAAAACAAAATAAGTAGAAGTCTAAATGGGGGAAGGAAAATCCCATTCACGTCAGCAACATCAATAATCAGCCCATAAATAAATAAAACAAAACCTGAAAGTATCTGAAACTAACACTAACCCAAAATGTCAGATCCTAAATGTAAAGAAAATTACCCACTTTGACTGAGTTATAAAAGAATTGGAAAAAAAAAAAAAAAAATCAGGGAGCATACTTTGCTTCTAGACTGGCTGGCTTAATAATACAGAGAAACATACGTTTAAATATCCCATTCCTGCCATTAGAATCACACTCAATACAGACAGATTTTAAAGTCGGCCCCTGAACCCAAAATTGTAGTCATACCAGAAATGCTACCTATATAGCCATTAAAAAATATGAGGTACATTTTGATCAACTGACATGGGAAAATGTCCACCATAAATTGTCAAGAGGAAAAAAAAAAAAAAACAGGTATAAAATAAAAGGATCACAACAATCTCATGGTGTATGAGGGGGAAGGCACAGGTATTTAGAAATAAAGATGAACACTCTAGAGTGAGCAGTTGGCTACCTCTGGGTGGTGAGGTCACATGATTTTAGGCTTTTGGAACTTTTGCAAAAAGTACAGTGTAACTTCTATAAATTTGGGGGTAGGGAGGGAAACAGTTTAAATGTAATGAAACACACCAAAATGTCAAAATATCAACAGCATGTGTTTTGAGGTAGCTGAATCATGGTTGTTTCGACATATTTTCCTATGTTTTCCAAATTTTCTACAATAATCATAAAAAACAAACCTCTGTGCAAAACTGTTAGAGAAATGTAAACAACAACATGTTAAAAAATTCACTTGGACCCTCTTGTTCACTTGAGCTTACATGTGCCAAATTCTCAGTTTTTCTCCAATCATTCTATTATTTTCAACATTAAATTCAAAATTTGCCAGGAAGTGTTCCAATCAGAAAAAAATAAAAAGGTCTGAACTGCTCACACACACTTGTTCAAATTAAAAAGGAAAGCAAAATGTGGTGAGGAATCAATAAAGGTGTGGTCCAGAGTCTCACCGTGAAACTGTTGTTGACGTTCTTGGTGCTGGATTCAGCCACACTGGCGTCTGTCAGGTCCACCTCATCAAATATGATCGACTGGAGAGAGACACGGGCACCACGGTCAGTGCGGGGCCAAGGCCCCTGGCCCAGCCACTCTCCCTCACCCGCAGCCAAGCACCCACAATGCCAAGCACCTCGGGACTTGAGCACTTGATAACTACATGGACTGCGTCCACCCTACCTGCTTCTAACCAAGAGCACAGAGCTCACAGGTAGACCTCTGAGTGTTTTTTAAGCCAGGAGTTCATGAGTGATTGCATTAGTGGAGAAAAACAAAAGAAAACAAAAAACCACTGTGATTTCCGTATTTATTTTTTGTAATCAGCATTTCACTTTTATATGTGAAACATGCCCTCACACAGAGTCCACCTGAGGGAGCAGGGCTCCAGCCTGAGGATCCTCTGTCCTTCCAGCTGGCACACTTAGGGGGAAAGGTCCTGGCTAAAATCAATGATTCTAGGAAGAGAGACCAACCCAAATAGAAGGGATCTGGCCATGAAAAAAACCAAAGGAGCAGACCAGAAGGAATCTAGTCCTGGAGAGGGAGACAGCCAGGCTCCAGAAGGAGCACTGGGAATTACACTGGGGACCTTCCCCCCAACCTATTTCCTCTCCACTCTCCCCCCAAATCCCCACAGTGCCCATCTCCTGTTTACCTTACTGTCCCCTCTAAGAGGATTCCATTGGGAACACCTGGAGGAAATGCTAATGACTTAGAAAAGAGACTCACCCTTTTAAAGTAACGAACCTCCTCCCCCAAAATCTCTCCCCACACACACACAGAACTAAAATAACTACAAGCGGTTTTTTGTTTTTTTGGTTTCTTTTTTTTAATGAGGGATGTGGTCAGAACCCTCTCTAAACAAGTTGCTCTGTTCAATTTCAAATTTTAATGCACTCTCTACGGATACATCTAAAAAAAAAAATCTGGAATCTGAATCATTTACATTTTAATACCAAAATATCAGTATTGACAACAATACCGATACAATACTGGTATTCAGAACACCAAAAACTAGCTTTACAAACACACATTTGCTTAAACACAACGGAATTCAGTGGCTTTCAGTGGCTCCTTGTCTTCCACTCGAGCCTGGTGACTCTCGCTGCAAAGCTCACGCACAAGCGGGCACAGGGGAAGGAGGAGCTCGGCTAGAGGCCTCGAGACAGAACTTCACTGTTCTGTTCACACACCAACAAGCCCAATACGCTCCAAAAACAGCTTCAAGTAGTTTCACACGTATGTACTACTTATCTCCAAACTCATTAAGTTGTATACATTAAATATCTATAGCTTTTTGCTTGTCAATTATAAATTGACAGTTTCTTTAAAAGCATTTGTCAATAAAGAGCTTTTAAAGAAAAAAAAAAGATATTTTAGCCCATAAGAAATGTATAAGCCTGTGACCCCCAACTCTTCCAAAAGAAAGATCTTTAACTGTAATTTGATTATTTCTGCGACATTTCCCCCTTCCCCCAATGGTGACATAGGACATTAAGGAAAAGAAAAGTGAGTAAAAGCCAAAGTTTATAAGAAATAAAACATGCCTTGAGACAAATTAAAGCTAGCACCGTGGAGTATTACCAAACTCGCTGGAAATAACAGCTGTAAGCAGTGGAGGTTTGTCCCAGGATGCGGACTCGGTAGGGAAGCTCTCCCCTGCGGCCCCTCCCGAGTCTGTTCTCAAGTGGTCTCCACAGCACCTCACCTTTGCCGTTTTTGCGTAGTACAGCGTTCGGCCCCGCAGCTTAAAGTATCTCCGTTTTGATCGCTGGAATGAATTGTTCTGTTTGGTCAGCATCCCCTCCTTGATGACGGTCTGAAAGCACAGAAATGATCCATGAGCAAGCGTCTGCACGGTGCCCTCGAGCCCATCCCGTGGAACCGCACAGACGGGCCAGTGCGTGTGTGTAGGCCAGGGGCCTGACTGAAGTACTTGTCACGCTCTCCCTAGACCCTGGCCTCTGGACAGGCCAAGCGCGCTGCCCGGGAGGGCTACACAATTCTCTGAGGGACTATGGCGTGCCTGAGCAGTGAGGGTGTCAGGGGCCCACAGTGTGCCTGGCCATGCCCAGGGGATCCACAGAAGGGGACAAGAAGACTCGCAGGGCCACAGTGAGCAGCAAGGGGCCAGAGCATTCTCTAACTTCAGCATTTGGTATTTTTCAGCTATTCTTGGCCCCATCTCCGTGTTCTCTGGCCTCCTGCCATTTCTCAGGATCCTGCTGCCAAAACTGTCGACGTAGCTTGCTATGGGGTTCAGCGCAGCTCCAGGCCTGCACCCCACTCGACCCTCACCCCATTCACAAGCTAGGCATGTGCCTCTGCCCAAACTGTCAGAGAGAACTGCCACAACCAAAGTCACTGAAACTCCTCTCATCCCATAAATCTGATCAGTCCACCAGGAAACTGGAGTTCCTTCCCTTAACAGCTGAGGTGGACAGCAGTCCAGTCCACTCACCTTGGCTCAATAAAAGCCACGAAGGGACATGGCTTCTCCTGGAGCTGTCTGCCCTCTTGTGCTGTCCCGGGGGCTGGTCTAATAGGACAAGGGAGCCCTGCAGGACACTCAGCGTGAAATGCTCAAAGAGCTACTTGATCATTAGACATCTGAACCACTGGGAGCCACGACGAGCAAAAAGAATAAACAACGTGCCTGAAACAAGAGCCTGGTTCTCGGCACGTGCATACTTCTTTTTCCCCAGCTGCCAGAAACGGCCACTGTACAAGAAGTCTCGCTGTGGAATCAGACAGAATGCACAACTCTGCTCCAATACACCAATACCGGTTCAGAGATGTTTCAGATGAATTACCTAATCCCATACAGCTTTGCACTTTAAGTAACTTTTTAAAGAAAGTATCTGTCCAAAGCACTTGGGGACCTGTGGCCACTGAAGACGACATAAGATGAAACCAGACACAGAAACCTCACTTAACCCAGACACGTCAGAAGGCAAGAGGAGAACACCGGTGCGGTCTGGTCCCTCCACCAGCCAACTCCAAACAGAGCAGGGAGGGAACTCGGGATGCAGCTAACCCCCACCCTGAGAAGAACGCCGAAGAACGCCCCTGGTCCCACACACACCACCAACACAGGGCCACGCACCGGGACCCCGACCTGAGCCGCACAGCACCCAGGGGGCCAGGGGGGGACCTGGGAGTGTGGGCCGCCACTCCCCTCCTTGTCCCCGCCACAGGACGCCTCTCAGGCAGCTTCCCAGACAGGGGGAGCCGCACAGGCCAGCTCGTGACCGTGGGCCAGGTGTCACGGGAGCTGTGCTGGCCGGCCGGCCTCGCAGTACAAACAGCAACCTTCTCCAACTCCCAGGAGAAGAACTACTGAGGAATCTCCCTCCTCGTTCTGTGGCACATGACTCCCCCCCCTACTTCTGAGGACATCACCCACCCGCTCTCCCAGGTAATTAAAGAGTGCCAGCAGCAGAGAGAAGACCACAACCTCACCCAATGATCAAAGGAACAGACATGCCACTACAGTCACAGAATCTGAAACTGCCATCCTTAACTAAACGAAGGCACTGCTGTTCGCAAGGGCGGGAACTGTGTCAAGCCAGAGAGAACGCACGCCCCCGGATCCCAGGAGCTGCAGGTAGAAACCATCCCCCATACAGAAGGACTAGCAGGTTGTTTCCTAACATTCTTTTCGGAGCCACGTACACGTGGACACTCATGGCAACGTGCTCTTCGGAGACCCAGAACAGCTACGTCTGCGCACAGCGATGCAGACCCACAGGCGCCCGCACCGCGCTCCGGGACAGCCTCTCCTGCTTGACTTCACAGGACTCGCTCACAGGCGTAGGCACCTCTCCTCGCCCCCACGCGTCTTCCTTACCTCTGCACGGGAAGTCACCACTTCCATCTCCTTCCTAAATGCAAATTAAAAAAAAAAGACAACAAAACCAACAAGCCCAGACCCAGAAGAGTTATAATAAGTTATCTTTAAAGAATAAACGCTAGAGTATTTTTTCTTGCATCTCCCGCCACACATCTCACACATAAAAGAAAAGCAAAATTAAAATACAATCCACTCCACCACACACACACAAATCGTTCAGAAAGCGGATGAGCGCTGCGATCTTGGGCTAACCAAGGAGGGCCGCTGTTCTATTTATAGAACAAGAGCACTCAGAAAAAGACTCTGGTGGGTTTCAGCGGAAAAGGCTGGGGAAAAGATAAAGACCAGTATTTCTTTGAAGCTTTCTCAGAAACTGCGTTTCTTCTCCTGATTCGCTGCTCGAGAATACTATAGATATGCTGCAGAATATTTTTAAACACTCAGTCAAAAGCAATGAACTAAAAGTGGTCAAGAAAATAACACCCCTGAATAATCTGCTGTGTTTTGCATTTGGCAGCTTGTAAATGGCACCCACAGGAAACACTGCTCAGCTGGCAGGGCTCCTCCTTGTGCCCAATGGAGCAGAGAACCAGAAGTCAAAAACCCACACTCAAGCACAGCTCGATCAGGACATGCTGGGCGGCCAGGCTCTTAGAACCATTTTGTCAAGTTCTTTGCACAAACAGAACGGCCCACTCTGTCCTTCAAGCAATCCAGGGTACCTTCATTACCAATAGAAATAAGAAAGGACAGATTCAAAACACACACAGGCACTGAGAATCAGAGTGGGAAAGTGAGCCCGACGCCCACCTCGAGAGAGGAAGTAAATCTCCAAGCTGGACTCCAGGGATGAAACCGGCAGTCTAAGCGTGGCCCTGGGTGCCACAGCCACCCACGGTGAGCAGACAGAGAGCACCTGGCCCACAGGTGAGACTGCCTGGGCACCTGCTGGGGCCGGGGGGGGCGGCGGCGCGCAGCTCAAATCTTTAGTCATCCTGCTCAGGAACAAAGGACTGAGGAAGGCAGCTCTGGAGATGACCTTAAAAAGGCTTCAAACCAGGGGCACCTGGGTGGCGCAGTCAGTTAAGCATCCAACTCTTGGTTTCTGCTCAGGTCGTGATCTCAGTGTCATGGGAACAAGCCCTGCATCGGGCTCTGCGCTCAGCACAGTCTGCTTGAGATTCTCTGTCCCTCGGGCTTGTGGGCTTGTGCTGTCTCTCTAAGAAATAAATAAAATCTTCAGGGGAAAAAAAAAGGCTTCAAACCAGTGGGCAGGGAAAGGCAAGCGCAGGCCCCTCAAGTCCTGGTCAAACATGCCCAGATCACTGACAGCCAGGCCTGTGGGTCTCAGGTCCTCGGGTACACCTTTGCAAAGATGGTTTTGGCCGCAGTACGGAGGAAAGGAAGAGGGAAACCTAGAGGCATGCAGAACAGTCCAGAAACTTTTATAAGAGGGCAGCCAGCAACACTGAGCCTCTGGGAGGGAGACAGGGACACAGACATGAGAGTGCTTGGGGTGCCTGGGAAGAAGGCCACCACGGATGGAGGCGAGGAGGACTCTGGTTTCATGGGGGAGGCTGGGAGCTTCGTTTGGGGCATGCCCACGAGGTCCTCAAGCATGCCAGGGGGAGCTGAGCAGAGAGACGGCAGCGGATATGAGGTCAGGGTGTGAGAGAAGGTTTAACAGAGGAGATGTCTTGGTAAGACCCATATGGAAAAAGAGCAGGAGGGCAGGCACAGGGGACCAGGAACCCCAGGACACCAAGCTTGGGTACAGAGAGGCAGGAACCCAAAGGGAGCATAGAAGAAAGTGGGCACAAGGCCAGGGGCAAGGAGAAAGGCCCCAGGAGGCCACACTCATGATGCCAAGTGGGAGGAGTCAGAGGAGGACCTGCCAGGGCGAAGCCAGAGCACAGCGCACCATATGTGACCGGGATGGGAGGAAGCAAAGATGGCAGGTGGGGTTTTTTAACCCACATGTTTCTTAACTTTTTATAAACATGGGATCACAGTGCACATACCGTACTTGAACTTCCTATTTTTTGTTATGATACACTGTCAACACCCTTCCATATTAGTGAGTATATCTTTCTCGGCTGCAGAATATTTCCATGTATTGCTGTGCTCACTCACAGCAGTACAACTCACTTGGGCCGCTAGAACACGTGGAACGCATCCCGCTCTATACGACCAACACTGCTTCCAAGTATAGCGCTACAACAAAACAGTCTGTGCCTGTCCTGGACTATTCCTTAAAGCACATGACTAGAGGCAGCATTTGGGGCTCAGGACAGCCCAGAAATAGATGCTGGCAGACTTGAAAGCGTGACAAGTGACAGCAGCAGCTTCTCCAGCTGGGGGCAAGGAGGGACCAGTCAGTTGCTGGGCCTAAGACAACAGGTTATCCAAGAGCAAAAATGCTCTCAGTCCCCCACCTCACACATGTGGGCTACGGATGCAATGCAAAAGGCCGAACTTTAAAAGTTTCAGCAGACAATAAAGGAGAATTGAAAAAATACTAAACACAAACTATAAAACCGCTAAAGCCAACTATATTCCAAATGAGAACTTCTGTTGATCAAAGAACCTCACAAAGAAAGGGAAGAGGGAAGCCACGGTCTGGGAGAAGATACACGCCATACTGCCAATGGCCAGAGCCAGCATCCAGAACATTCTAAGAACCCCTGCAAAAGAGTAACAAGAAAAAGCAACTACTAAATGGAAAACTGGCAGAGGGCATGAAGCGGAGCAAGTCCAATGGTGACTAAGAGATGTGAAGGGCAGCATGCTGGACAGAAAGGATCCCTGGGGGCGACATCCTGATGCTCTGCTGGGTTCACACATGCAGTCTATTACATGTGTTTATGCTGCACTGACGTTTACATGCATGTTACTCAGCATGGGACAGAAGTAAAATCTCAGGCAGAGCTCGGGTTAAGTGTGAGAATTTGCACGTGTTCCTGATG